CATGGCATACTCTCTACCTGGGAGAATAACAGACCTTTTGTCACCAGGAAAGATACTGCAGGTGAAGGAAAGATTGTTAACACTTCTTGAAGAGTTTCTATTCTCTATCAAAAGATTATCTTGCCCTAACCAGTTTGGCTTGGTGGATAAAGCATCGGCCTGCGGTCTGGGAGGTCCTGGGATCAATTCCGGACAAGGGCATGTGCCTTGGTTGTGGGAACAACCCCGGTGGGGAGTGTGCAGGAAGCAGCTGATCGATGTATCTCTCTCATCGATGTTTCTAGCTCTCTATCCCTCTCCCTTACTCTCTGTAAAAAACCAATAAAATATATTTAAAAAAAAAAAAAAGATTATCTTATCGAGGAGCTAAAAGCTCTTGGGATTGCCAATGGGGTCAGAAAATCTTATTAAGTTGGGATTTAACCCGGCTGGTGTGGCTCAGTTGTTGAGCGTCGACCTATGAACCAGGAGGTCACGGTTCAATTCCCGGTCAGAGCATATGCCCAGGTTGTGGGCTTTATTCCTCAGTGTGGGGTGTACAGGAAGTAGCCAATCAATTATTCTCTCTCATCACTGATGTTTCTATCTCTTTCCCTCTCCCTTCTTCTTTGAAATCAATTTAAAAATATTTTTAAAGAAATAAATTGGGGGGGGGGGGGAATAGTTGGATTTAACTTTTGTAAGGGAGAAGGTAGTAGACCAGTGTGCAAAGCTCTGTGTGGAGGGAGTAGTCTCAGGTCAGTGCCCAATAGAGACCTCGACCTCTTGGAGTGCCAGAGTCAATAGCCTCCCTTATAAGTCACGTGGCCTGGCTTCCCAGCATCAAAAGTCCACCCCGGTGACCCTCACCTCCTATTTTCTGTTTCTTCTAGGATGTTCTGCTGCTCAGTCAGTTCATCCGGCCTCACGGAGGCATGCTGCCTCGAAAGATCACAGGCCTGTGCCAGGAAGAGCACCGCAAGATTGAGGTGTGTGTGAAGATGGCCCACCGAGCAGGTAGGCTTTCCCGTTGGGCTGTAGGTGCCACACCCCCACACCCCCACCAGCTGCCCCATGTTGTAGCCCTCCTGGAAGAGTCTTCATTATAATCCCCTCAGTGCCAACCTTCCACCCCCTTGGCTTTCCCTATGGCCCCCAAGAGCTGCAGAAGGGGCTGCAGAGACCATCTCCTTATATGCTCTTCCCTCCACTCAGGTCTGTTGCCAAATCACAGGCCTCTGCTTCCTGAAGGATTTGTTCCAAAAAAGAAACCTCAACTCAACCGGTAAGCACACTAGGGTGTCAACACCCTGAGCATTCTGCAGGTCCCCAGTTCTCACTGTATTCTGCCGAGAAAGCCATTTTTTGGAGCTCATCCCACAGCCCAGGAAAGCTAGAGTGTTCTTTGGCTGTCCCTCCAGCTTGAGCACCCACCCCCATTGGTCCCACCGAGGCTGCAGTTGACGGTGCACATGCTTCTGTCACCCTCCCCTGCTGCCCTCAGCCCTCTTTCCTCTTCCCTCCCTCACAGGGCACTTAGCACAGAGGCAAGGAGCGTAAGGAGGTTTGCTGGTTGGGCATTAGAATGTGCTAATCCCCTGTTTATGACATCATACTAGGTTGCTATGGGAATGTCAGAGCACTTCTTGTAGTATCCCAGCATTGGGTTTATTAAAGGGCAAAATGAGGCTTTAAAAATGGGAGGGCTCTCTGGGTGGGATCACTTTATATAGCTGCAAGTCATACACTGCAAAACTTGAAGGCAGTATCCACATAGGCTAGATTGTGAATGGCGCTTCCTAGAATTGTATACTTAACCTGCCCAGCTGCACATGCTGACCCAGGAGGTCCTGAGGTTTTAGAGAAGAGGAAGGCCCCTAGATCCTTAATCAATCAGCCTTTCATCCTAAGCAGGGTGGCACCCTCTGGTGCAGGAGCAGACCTGTCTAACGCTGTCATCCTGTTCTGTGTTCCTTCCCTTCCCCCATATCTGATATTGCCACACTCTCATACTCCTAGATCTGTAACACCCCCTTATTGAGAGTAGAGCCAGGTCTGTAAAACTGGTTTTGGTATTTATTCTTGTTCTCCTCTATCAATGGTTCCTCCCTCTTTCAACCTGTCCAGCTGCCACTGGACTTGACCAAAGATGGTTGAAGCAAAGCAAGACTTAACCCACCCCCTAGCAAACCTCCTAGTCTGATCCCTAACAGAACCCAGGCACGAGGGTAGGAGTTTAGGCAAATACCAGCCACAAATTGCTGGGGTGGCAGTGCAGGGCCAGAGCTGGGTCTTCATTGATGCCTCACCACCAGGCCTGGCCCCATGCGTATCTCCACCTGCCTTTCCCACATGGTTAGCTGGGCTGTCTGCCCGCAGTCCTGGGGATCAGGACCTAGTAACCGCTTTCTGTCTTCCCAAATATGCTATGGACCATTTGGGGGTTGAACCTGCCCCCACCCCCGACTTAGCAGCAGGCCTAAGGACACAATCTATCCTGCCCTCGGGCCTTTGAAGTGAGGCCAGGCTCCCTCCCGCATATCCGGTGTCCTTTAACGTGACACAGGATTGATGATGTGTGGGGGCCCTTGGGTTGCAAAAGGCCACGGTGGGGGAGCGAGAGCGGGAGTCAGAGTCCTGGCTGCGATGGAGGTTGATTCCCTTGTGAGGGACTTTATGATTCTGTCCAGAGGCCCTTGGGCTTTGGGCTCAGGGGAGCCACACTTCCTCCTTCCTCGGCCCCTTCAGGAGTGGTAGGAAGGACCCTTAGTTCTTCCTAGAGCTGGAATCTTCCCCAAAAGCTGCTGGAGGCCACCCAGGCACCCCTCCCCCACCAGCTGGCGGCTTCATGTGGCACAGGCATCAGGCCCAGGGCTAGCTGAAGCCCAGCTTCCTCGGGTCTCTCCAGGGCGGGGGGACACTTCTAGGGCAGCAGTTCTGGAGAACCCGGTCAGCCTGGAGGATCTTCTGGGGTCCTGACATTCCAATGAGCACTCTTTTTGGGAAACCAGCTCCCATATCCTACCTCTTTACCCATCCCCTCTGGAAACTGGGAGATGCTAGCCCAGGGGGCCTGCCAAGTATTCCTTCCCTTACCCTTTATTCTCCTGTTGCCCCAGAACCAGCAGCCATAGGAAAAGCAGTCCCTCGGCCTGTCCACTCCTCAGAAGCCTCCCTCCCTGTTGGGGCATTGACATTGACATTGACAGTGACAGGAGACTCAGAGAAGTCCTTCCTGCCCGCCTGCCTCACACTTAGGCCAGCACCTCCCCCAGCTCTTACTCCACTCAGAGCTGTTTCTTTGCACACGGCTGAGAGCAGAAGACTCAGTTGAAATGTATAAATCAGCAATCATTTTTTTACTTTTATCTAAAAATGTTCATCCAAGTGTTTTTTTTTTTTTTTAAATTAAAAAACTCTATCATTTGAGGGTTTTTTGGAGCTGGCTGTGTTGAGTCGCAGCCTAGAGTGAAGGCAGGGAGGATCCTGGCCTTTGCCATAGCTGAGCTTTTAGGATAAAGGGTGGGCCTCTCTGGACAGGATCCAAGTTTCACTCTGAATGGAGTAAACCCCAGCCCCAGCCGACATGAGCCACTGTTCCGGGAACATCAGCGCCCTGGCCACCCCCAAAGGAGGCCAAAGGACTGGGCGGCAGCCATCTTTCCTCTCCTACTTACCCCCCTGGGCCCTCACCCTTGGCTCCCATCATGGGTTGAGTGAGGGGCAGGGGCCTACACCAGTTATGGCTGCCCAGGGGAGCTCCCTGAAGGCTGGGGTGGCAGAAGGAGCCAAGTGGGGAAGAGGGAAGGATTCCTCCAGGCCCTTACATCAGCCTCTCCTCTCCCCATGGCTGAGGCCACAGAGGAATGATCTGCTCTCTGAGTAGCCTCTTTCTCCACCTCCTCCCCCAGCAAATACACATAAACATTGACAACTCATAAAGATCAAGGGAGCGCGTGGCCCCGGGCTGCCTGACCCTGGCCACACACGCTTACGGCAACAAGAACCCAGCCCATCTGTTTACAGCACACTCAGCGGTTGCTCCCAGGAAAAGCCCCTGCTCCTCAAGGAAGGAAAACTAGAGAAAGGGTTTGGTTGGACAGCCACAGCTTTGGCCTGAGGAGGCAGTGCCCACTCTCCCAGCTCCAGCCCTGGCCCCCAGCCTTCAGCCACTTCTTGGTCCTCCCTCCACAGGTACCTGACCCGCTGGTCCCGCCGCTCCGTCAAGCCCATCTACAATAAAGGCCACCGCTGGAATAAGGTGCGCATGGCTGTGGGATCACCCCTCCTGAAAGACAACGTCTGCTACTCAAGCAAGCCTTTGGTGCTGTATCATGGTTAGAACCTGGCCAGAGCTCCTGCACTCCTGCCCTTCCCACGGCTGGCCTGGCCTCTCCAACATGAAGGACACAAGGGGCAATGGACCACCTTCAATGCCCTCCGCTTTCCAGCAGCAGTGCTGGGAGCTGGGGGCAGGCAGGGCAGTTGGGTTCTTTGGCAACTACGATGGTCTCATGGCTAGTTGCGGCCATACTCTGTGCTAGGGGACAGGAGTTTTGCTCAACGAATGTCATAAACCAGGCTCATGTTTCACCCACTGGATGTGTGCTCACTGCGTGGGGGCTTGGGCCTGTTTCCGGCCAGTTACTGAGCAGTCACTGATCTCGTGCTGGGCTGCATAATGCAACTGAAGGGAGTTCATGGGCTGAGCAGGTTCCCACCCTCTGTTTTGACAGCTGTTCATCGGGCCTGGGGGCTGCAAGGAGGCGAGTTGGTCTGCCTGGCCTGTGTACAACTCCAATGTGAGTCCAGGAGCTGCCTTCCTCAAAGGGCTTCTGGCCGTCACCTCCCACAGCCATTTCCACCCGCCATTCTCTCTCCTGTTAGCACATTCCGATCCTCTGCCACTTGCTTTAGAGTTGGGTCTCCGGCTCCTTGGGCCTCGCCTCAGAGCCTGGACACCAGATGGAGGTGGAGTGTGGGGAAGCAGCAAGACAGAACAAACACACCAAACTCACTGAAACGTATGAAAATAATGTTGATGCTCTACATACGAAGTCCCTGGCGGGCCCCTCCTACAGCATGAAGGGCAAGTCCATGTTCTTCTCACCAGTGCCCACATAGATGTAGCCACAGTTCTTGGTGCCCGGAGCGTGGTAGAAGGTGAGGCCTGGCCAGAGCAGGCTGCGCAGCACCACCAGGGCGTTGCCTCGCTCCATCTGGATGCTCCAGGACCCTGGGGAGGAAGTGAGGCCTGAGTGCTGTGGAGCCAGAGCTCTGCCCGGTGTGCAAGGCCCCAGCTCCCTGGGCAGCCAGGCCCAGGTGCTAAGGGTCCACTCAGAAAAGGGAAGACGGTTTAATTATCCCGGCGCTTTACTCCTCCTGATAGCCTTTTAGCCATTTCACTGTTCATTAAAACCACTTCCAGGGGGAGGGCAAAGGAAATGAAAGGAGGTGAAACTCAAAAGGAGTGCATTTTGTTCCTGTCAGCAAGTCTAGTTAAAGGTTGAGTGGGGGAGGAAGCTGAATCCAAAGGCAGAGGGGATTGGAGCCTGTTTGGGGAGACTTTCTCCCGGCTCTGCTAGGGGTAATCACCAGTGACCTTCAGTCCTAGTGTAGTTTCCCCCACTTGCTATTTTGCTCTCTCGTACCCAGTCCCAGAAGCCTCTGCTCTGAGATAGATTAGACCTGACCAGGGGCTCACATAGAAGTTCGACCATTTCAGGTCTGAAGCTCAATAGCCCTCTCTGGCTGCTGGTAGACTGGGAGCTGGTGGCAGGAGGGGACTTGGGCTACAGCTAATGAGCCTTTGTCTACCCTGGGTCCTGCCCTGGTTTTTGCTCTCCAGACAGGAACGGCCCAGCCCAGGGCTGAGTTGTGCGGCCATGAGGACTTGGCGGGAAGGACCTGATCCATCTCCAGAACCGAGGGAGGGAGCTGCTGTGTGGGAGGAAGGAGCCTGGGAAAATCGCCTCTGGATGCAGATCTGGAGCTTCTATTCCCCTGCGCACCGAGGCCCCTCCCGGGCCCAGCCACAGCTCTGCTCCAGACCCTGCCAGAAAGGCAAATGCTTTGAAGGTTTTGGTGTTGGACCAGCCAGTGATGCACTGAGAGCTGTGCTGAGGCCTTCATCGGCTGCCAGCTCAGCCTGGCTGCTTGGCTCCTGCTGCCCCAGCTTCCCACAGGCCTCCTCCAACCATGGCCCACCCTGGTCACTCCACACCCAGCAACATCGCAGTTCAGTCTCCACCCACCAGGGGCCACCCTGTATCCACCCTGACCACCAGGAACCCCTGGCCCTGACAGCAGCTCAGCCCTGCTGAGGGTGCCGTCACCTGCCCAAATCCAAGCCAGAGCTTTCTGGTGCATGTAGGTCAGCTGGCCCTGGCCTGCCTAGGGAGAGGCTGGCGGGGAGCCCACCACAGCTCTGTTCAGAGGCCTGCACCAAGGGATGCCACCCATGCAAAAGATGATAAAGTAGAAGCTACAGGGATTCCACTCCCCTAGGCCCACACAGTGCTGGCCAGACAACATCAAGAAGAGTGTCCCCCTGGGGTACCAGAGCTCTGGCTGGGGCACTGCCTAGGAAGGGGGACGGGTGCTTTCCTGGTCAGGGAAAGGGAGTATTTCCCGTGGCTCCTACAATTTTCTTCTCTGAGCACCTGAAGTCCTCCACCTCCCAGACCTGCTCCAAGAGGCCTAAGGCCCTGCCTGTTGCTTTCCTAGTCAGTCATTCAGAAAACATGTCTAGGGGGTAATGGGAGTGGGACAGGCCAGAGCAAAAGATCCCAGGGCACTGCATTCAGCCTTTGGCCAGAAGCACAGACCCCAGGAAGGTACATCCCTTAGTCACCCCCACCCAGTGCCCAGAGCATCATCTGGGGACAGTCCCTCCCTGTCGTTGCTCACAGCCATGCAGTCCTCTTGAACTAAGAAAGCAGGCTCTGGCCACCAGGGAGGGCAGCTTGCAGCTGCCTGAGCCAGATGCTGCTCTGGATAAATGGGTCCGGGTGTCCTCCAGCCAGACCACTCATCAGTTCACTATTGCCGGCATCTTTTTTTTTTCTTTTTTTGCCAGCATCTTGGCACACCCTGAGCCAGAGCTGGATCCCAACCTTACACCAACCTGCCCACCTAGGGTTTGGCCATCTCTTTCCTTTAGCAGTTGAGGGGGCCCAGGCTTATTAGCAGGGCTCCCCGCACTCCCACTCCAGAGAGCAAGGAGAAACGGATAGGGATGCTAGAGAAATGCAGTGACCCCACGGGGGCAGGGGAACAGCAGCGCCAAGCAGGCGGAAGGGTGCTGGCCAAGTGTGGAAGCGGCATGTGAGGGGCCAGCCAACAACACTGCCTCCCTCCCTCCCTTGCATTCCTGTCACACTCCTGTCCTCCTCTCCTTGTTCCTGGCTCAGCTGGTTGCCCAGGAAACACACAGACTCTCAACGTGCCAGGAGTCACGTAGTGTCTACCTGGGAAGCCAGGCACTTGCTTGTCACCTTCACCCACTTCTCTTGTTGCTGGAAAGGCTGGGCCCAGCCAGCTGCTGCTGCCTCTGCCCCTCTGGGGTTCCAGGAGAGGCAGCCTGCTGTGGCCCTGGTGTCTCAGTTCACAGCCCAGTCTCCCCAAAGCTCCCCTCCTGCCCCCTGGCACCCACTCCGTTCTGCAAGCTGCTTTTAGAGGCTATGCTGGGGAACACGCCGGTAACCAGGAGCAGGGCCTATTGCAATCTGCAGGAAGTCCTGGGTGCCCAGAGCCCCAGGCTCTCACCCAACTTGCTAGTGCGGAAACCTCAGGCGAGAGTATGCTTCTCTCAATTAAATTCTCCTGCCCTCCAGGAAGAAAGGCAGCAAAGCACTGAGGTTCCGTTGATGGGGACAGTGGACCAGGCTGGGGATCAGGGCTTTCTGGGGCAGCAGGTAGCTTAAACCCCTCAAACCAGCACCATACAACTTGTCTCAGACACAAAAATAGGCATGGGGTTCTGTCTCAGAGCAGACACCACCAAGGACCACAAGGTATGGTCAAACCCCCTAGAGCAGCGGTTCTCAACCTGTGGGCCGCAACCCTTTTGGCGGTCCAACGACCCTTTCACAGGGGTCACCTAAGACCATCCTGCATATCAGATATTTATATTACAATTCATAACAGTAGCAACATTACAGTTAAGAAGTAGCAACGAAAATAATTTTATGGTTGGATCCCAACATGAGGAACTGTATTTAAAGGGCCAGAAGGTTGAGAACCACTGCCCTAGAGGTTGTGAGGTGGGCAGGGTCCTATAGAGGCGGAAGAGTGCCCTGTCTGATTGGTACGGTCAGGACCTGGGTTCAGAAGGCTGAGTACCTGTTAGCCAGGCTTCCAAGGGACTGGGTAGGAGGAGCCACCTGTATACACCCCCAAGAGAAGGCTGATCGAGGGTCCCATGTTCCCCACAACTCTCCAATGTTCCTGTCCCCCTTTCTCCCCTGTCCCCCAACGCCTCCCCAAGCACCACCACCACATTTTTAAAGGCTGCTTTCCAGGCAGGCAGGCCCCTTGCTGCCCTCTGCTGCCTGAACTGGGCATTGCTGCTGAGGGCTCCCCCAGTTGAGAGAGGCGTCAGCTCCAGTGCAGAGTGGAGCAAGGAGAGAAGCCCTGCCCTCCTCCCCTCCTGCTCTGCTTCCCTTGCTGCTCTGCCTGCCCTCTCTGCACAGGACACTGACTTCATTGGTGAGGCACCTTCTACTTTACATTTCCACTTCTCATCTGTTTCATTTATCTTTCCAAACCTCCATGAGGCAAGGATGGTGCCTGTCTTGTTCACAATGATGTCCCCCCTGCCGAAACCGGTTTGGCTCAGTGGATGGAGCGTCGGCCTGTGGACTGAAAGGTCCCAGGTTCGATTCCGGTCAAGGGCATGTACCTGGGTTGCGGACACATCCCCAGTGGGAGATGTGCGGGAGGCAGCTGATCGATGTTTCTCTCTCATCGATGTTTCTAACTCTATCTCTCTCCCTTCCTCCCTGTGAAAAATCAATAAAATATATTTAAAAAAAAAAAAAAAAAAACACAACGATGTCCCCAGTGCTTGGCGCGTAATAGCTGCTCAGTGGCTATTGCTGATGAAGTGAAAGGTTAAGGAGCATGGACTGGCAGGGAACTATCTAGAAATCTGGCCTCCTGACCTGGCACTCCGTTTCCCCTGGCTGCAGCCCAAACTCACAACTGTTAGCTGTTTGCCTGCATCCACCAGGAGGATGGTTCTGCCCCCAAAGCTACTCACTCCCACAAAACTGCAGACCCAGGGCACAACAGGACAGCTCAGCAGGGCATCCTGGCCCCAGCCTGGCCCCGGGCTGATCTCCAAACTGACCTCCATGGGCATAGAGCAGGAGTCCCAGGGACAGGGCCAACCTGTGCCAGACCTGCTCACAAGTGACACGAAGTCCCCTGAATGACTGCCTCAGACCCAGGAAGGAATTAATGATCTTTCCTGGGCAGGAAGTTCCATCCCGCCTGCCAGTGCTGGTGTCCCAGGGAACTCTTCCTTGGGCCGCCTCAGCAGCCCAGCCCATTCTCTGCTGTCTGGCAGAGAAGCCTCCCAGCAGCTCCTCCTGCTCTTTAACTGGCAGATAAGGGAGGGAGTCTGGGAGCTAAATCAGTGTCCGCTCTCCCTGACGACACTTCCATCCTACACCATGGCCCCCACCAAGCCGTCGTGAGAAAGGACCGGGCCTGGCTTCCTGGAGGTTTCTGGTGGTGGCTTTGGGAGGAAGGGAGCTGGAGACCCAGAGCTGTGAGGTTTCCCAAGGTCAGGCCAAGAGCATCCCTCCCCTCAGGCCCACACACACAAGAGATGCCAGGAGCCCTCAACGCCCAAGGCCCCGGCACTGAGGAAAGAGTGACAGGCTGGAGTGGACTGGGATGTGAAACCATCAGTTGATCCTTCAGCCCTGAGGTCCGCCATTAGAGCAGAAGGTCTAGGGCCTCAGGCCACTGCTACCCACTCACCTCCCAGGCCCAGATCCTGTACCTCCCAGGGGCCGGATAAAGTCACTTGCTGACTGGACATAACAGGGTGGCCCCAGCATCCTTTAGGGAGGCCCCCAATGCTCCCTATCTTATACCCCTGCTGCAGGGAGACAGCTGCCTTCTGTGTCCCCTTTGCCCCAAGTGGCAGGGCAGACAGGGCTGGTGGGATTCCCATAGGAAGACTGTTGGACCCCCACAGCCCATTTGGCCAGCTTTGGTCTTGACTGCAAAGGCCCTAGCACCCTCCTCGCCCTCCCATCGCAGAGGAAGAGGCTCTAAGGGTGGGAGGTACTCTCATGCTAGCCCCTCTGATCACCCAGCACGATGGGAACGGGGCCTCACCCACTGGCCCTGGCCATCCAGCTGCAGGTGAGAGGGCTGAGAAGTCAGCACCAAGCAGGGCTTTCCAGGCTCACCTTGAATTGGGAGGTGGGGCTGCTGCACCCAGATTAGGGGTATTAACAGCACTTTTCTCCCCCACCGTTCAGCCCCTGGTGCTGGGTCCCACCATCACAACATTCCTGGCTCCCTTTATCAACCATCCCCCCCACCCCCACCCCCTGGGATGTGCGGCTGAGAGCATAGAGTTGGAGGAGATAACTGGAGTCTGGAAAGGGTGTCTCATGGGTGAGAAATGCCCCAGCCCCTATAAACCTTTATCTCCCCCACAGGTCCAGGAATCCCTTTCCATGCCCAGGGAGGCTTGCCTCGAGCACCCCCATGTGGCCAAGGCCAGCGTAGCCATTCTTTGCTGGCAGCCCTTACCCACTTGGGGCCCACTGCTGGCCCCTTGGGCATTGCAGTAGCTCTGAAATGCCTCCAGATCTCTGGCTTGCCACTTCTCCATCCATCCGGGCACCACTCCCTTATTATCACAGACCTGTTCACAAGACACCAGAAGCCCCTACTGCCTTGATCTAGGCCTCCTACCCTTGGCCCTCTAGGCCCTCCTAGGCCTGCCCACCTCTAAGGCCTTTTTGCCACTAAAAATATATCAATAAGTCCTGGCCAGTATGTCTCGGTTGGGAGTCGTCTCCTGTACCAAAAGGTTATGGGCTCTGTCTCTGGTAGGGAGCATGCAGGAGGCAGCCACATCAATGTTTCTCTTTCTCTTTCCCTCTTCCTTCTTCTCTCTCTGAAAAATTAAAAAAAAAGAAAAAAGAAAACACACCAAGCATATATATATATATATATATATAATTTTTATGTGAATTCTTATGCGTTCAGCACTGTTATAATTATTTTGTGTTATCTGTGTTAACTCTTAATTCTCATAACAACCCAGTGAGGTAGAAAATATCATTATTCCCCTTTTTAAAATGAGGAAATTGAGGCACAAGGCAACTGAGGGACTTACCCAGTGTCACACAACTAGCAAGTGACAGATTCAGTATCCAACCCAGGCTGTCTAATTCCAGAGCCCTCACCTTAACCACTACTGCCATCCCACCTCCGTCCTGAGTTCCAGCCCAACTGGGTGCCTCATTGCTCCTCAAATGTAGTGTCAGTCACCGGTGACTGTTGGGCGCCTAACATGTTAAAAGGAAACACCATCACCCTGACAGGCAGGCTTGGTTGGAGCATCATCCCATGCACCAAAAAGGTTTTGGATTCGATCCCCGATCAGGGAGCATACAGGAGGCAATGTGATATTTCTCTCTCACATTGGTTTCTCTCTCTCTCTCTCTCTCTCTCTCTCTCTCTCTCTCTCTCTCTCTCTCTCTCACACACACACACACACACACACACACACACACACACATCAGTAAAACATATCCTCGAGTGAGGATAAAAAAAGGGGGGGGACACCATCTCCTTGATACCACAGTTAATGCCAGAGTCCTGAAGTCTCCTTCTCTGACACTGTGCCCTTGGGTTTAACTCTCTGAGCCCCTGTTTCTTCATCTATAAAATGGGGATAGTAACAATATCTACCTCTTAGGTTGGCTGTGAATCTTAAAATGAGAGAAGGTATGGAAAGGGCTGAGTACAGTGCCCAGCACACAGTAAGCAGTGCCTCTGCTTTTATGTGTTACCATCATTGCCATCATCAACAACAAATCCCTCCAGGTCTCAGCAATGCAGACGTGCAGACAAAGAGTTAGAGGCGCTGAGTCAGTGTCTTGGGTGCGCCCCAGGTTGCCCAGAGCCTGGCATCTGCCCTGGGGTCCGGCATCCAAGCAAGAGCATCTTCCCAGGCATGTACTCAGGCGATGGAAATGGGTCTCTGTGGCCCAACCACCCGAAGGTGCATGCCTGGGCCAGGTGTGTCCCGAAGCATAGGAAGGCCCCTGAAGCCGTATGTTTTAAGATTTAAAAGTCCCATACACATAGCAGGAGGCAAATATACAGAACTCATATCCTTAGCAGGGGACGCTCAGTCAATCAGCACCAACATATTGAGCACCAGCTATGTACCAAACACCGGATCTAACCCCAAACTGACAGAGATGGATGCACGTCTCTATTCAAGATTGATATGAAAATCAGGAGACACTGAGAGACTTCTTGTCTGTGAAGGCGTATGGAAGACAACCCTTTTGTGTGCAAACATTTACCCACTGCTTCCTATGAGCTGAAACTTGTATTGGACCCTGGGGAAGCCCCACACTCAACCACCATTTCCTACCTAGGCTTTGGTCCCACTCTCAGAGGAGAATGGCAGGTGCATGGCCTCCTGCTCTGGCCTGAAGGCAGATCCAGGATCCTCCAAGTAACAAGCTATTACCTTTGGGGATGTCATGCTCCAAGGAGTCCATGAAGTCCAGGGAGGGGTCTAGGTCTGCCTTCTCAAGCAAGGTCTTGTTCTTCAGGTCAACTGGCTCCCTGAAGTGGAAGTAGGAACTGAGCTTCTTCGCTTCCGACAAGGTCAGTCCTAAAAAGAGGTAGCAGGTGGGGAGGGAACCCCACAGCTCACTTCCTCTGTGCGTGGGGGACACGTGGAGGAGCTTGCAAATGACTCAGACAACTACTGACAGAACTGAAGGGAGAAGAGGGAACAGTGCTCCCTCCACCCAGATTTGGCCCAGATCCTGCAATGAGGAGAGACCAATGAGGAGGAAGGTGGGAAAAGGCAGGGAGGCCAGAACCACGGAAAGACCTGAGAGCAAGGTGGCCAAATGCTCTCCCACCCGCAGGCAGAAACGAGGCAGGGCCCAGTGACTGGGTCCACCATGCCAACCACCGATGCCAGGTCACTGGACACATCCTCCCAACTGATGTGGTCACGGCTGTTGCTTTTCTGAGGAGGTGGGCAGTTTTGCTCAGACTCCCACATGTGTGTCTGACTGTGCGCGGGAAGAGATGCCCTCCTGCCGTGAGAGAGGCGCCACAGAACTCACCTTCAAAGGTCCGATTGACATGGGTGGGTCCAAAAGGGCTCTTAAAGAGGGCGCCTCGGGGGATAATGGCCACCGCCTTGTCGATCTGGTCAATGATGGACACCAGGCGGGTCTCCTCCTTGATCCGGATCTGAGGAGACAGGAGACAAGCCTCCCTGCCAGGGCCCTCTGCACAGCCATCTGGCCTGGGTCACCACCGTGTAGATGCCCGGTCCATGAAAAATCATGCTGGGTGAGCCCTCCCTCTCCTCCTATCAAGATTTTCTTTCTTTTTAAAATTAGTAATACATACTGGTGGTGCAGTATTTAAAACTAGAAGGAAAAAAAAGCCGTCTTTCTCACCCCATCCCTCGTCCCCCAATTGCCCTCACTGGGGGCAGCCACAGTTAATGGTTTCTGTACCCTTCCAGAAGCATACCATCTTGTCATCAGATTTAAATGTTGATTATTTTGCCTTTTGAAAATATAAAAGCGATCATGCTTACTGTAGACTACCAGGGTAATCAGAAATATTTTGTAGTATACCTGAGAATTAAAAGCATTCATAATTCTACCTCCTAAAGATAATTAGTGATAACATATTGGTATACTTCCTTCTATCCTTTTTTTATGATATATTTAAAGCACAATTAGAATCACAGTTTCTATAGTTTCATATCCTACCCTTTGACTTGACAAAGCATCACCCCATATTTCCCAAGCATCACCCCATATTATCACATCCTTATGCCCATGAGATTTGGTTACTATCAATGTCAAGGGCAACCCTGAGCAAAAGGATCTCATAGAGACGTTGGGGAAAACATGTCACCAAGGGCCCCCAGAGTCACTCAGCCCCCCATTTCCCGTGGGCTACCAACTGGAATTCTTTACAAAGGGGGAGATGGAAACTAATATTTAATAAGTGTCTAGGCTAGGGGGTTCAAAAATGTCATCTCATTCAATCTGCACAAGCCTGGGGAGCAAATACGATGACCCGAATTTTACGGAAAATAACACTGAAGGGAAGTTAAGTTTGTCGGGTGGGAAGGGGTGGGTGCTGGACCCAGTCTTTGGGCATCACCTAGAGTCAAGTGCAAAGACTGTGTTTTGAATTCAGGGTTTGTCTAGTTTCAAGACTTGGGCTCCTTACTTTTTTGACCTAGCTTCCATTTCCAGGAGTTGGTCATTCAGACAGGCTGCATACCGTGGAAATGACGTATGTACAAGGTCACTGCTTGTCCAAGCCAAACCTTGGAAACCTCCATTTCCATGAAAACATCACGGGTTAAATTATGTTGCATTCGCACATGGTAAAGAGTGGGGAGGAGCTTTAAGGCACTGATATGGAAAGATCTCCAAAATGTGTTGTGGGTAAAAAATGCAAGGTGCAGAACTGTGTGTATAACATGCTGCCATTTGTTTTGTTTTGTTTGCAAGATAACAAGAGAATATGTGGAGGTAAGGTATTTGCTGTCTCAGGTGACAGAGCTTCTCACATTTAAACATGAATTTGAATCCCCTGGGAATGTGCTAAAATGCAGATCCTCATCCCCCATCCCCCATTATTCTGCATTTCAAACGCCTAGAGCAGGGGTGGGCAACCCCTGGCACGCGTGCCAAATATGGCACGCCAGTAACTTTTGCTGGCACGCGAAACCCTCTCTTATAATGTTCCATTTACAATTTTTTTTTCTTAATATCGACTTAGTAGCTTGTGCATATCTCTGAAGGTCGCGAAATATAAACCTGATGTAAAATCTGTCATCAGTGATGCAGCAGCAGAAGTCCCACTGATAATATCAAACGGAGTCATACAGTTTTCTGTCGGACTATCAGTGTACATGTATACATTAAAAATAAATGTATTTTTCATCATCATATACTGTGTTTTTGTTGCTCGAATGAATTTTATTATTTCTTCAAGGTTCTTCACATGCGTACACCTTAAGAGATATCAAGTAGGCGTAACATGTTCTCAAAAACTTAGGGTTGGCACGCAGAAGAATTTTGAGTCAGAGATTTTGCTGGTTTTGGCACGCACTCGCAAAAAGGTTGCCCACCCCTGGCCTAGAGCATAGTAATGTGTCTGACCCAGGCTGTACTTTGAGTAGCAAGATTTGGACACACACATGCAAAACGGTTACATTACTGTCCCCCAGGAAAAGGACTGGGTGACTGGAAGACAGGGCTGGGAGGGACACTCTACTATATTCCTTTGTGTACATTTGAACTTTGAACTATATGAATGTATTATCTAGGAAAACAAAAATTGGTACAAAATGTAAGAGCTTGTGCCCATGCCCTTACCCCAGAGCTCAGCACGGACCCTTTCTTCCCTGCCCCTGCCCCAGAGCCACGCTGCTGCTCAGGGGGGTGTTGTTATGTTGTTGTCACCGTATTTCTATTGGGCTGGTTCTGGGTGCCCCGCCCTCTTCCCTCAGGCCCTCCTCCTCTCATATCCACTCACCACTATTTCTTCTTCAAAGACCTTATCCCCATCGTTCGTCTTCTGCAGCTCGGTGTATTCATATTCATGGGAGGGGTCCCCCATGAAGCGGCCCTTCACCACAGACGTCTGCGTCATCATCTCTTCTGTGGCAGGAGGCAAGAGGCTCCACTCCATGCAGTTCAGGCTGCCAACAGCATCCACAGCGCCCTGGTTTCCAACTCCCCCTCCCACTCGGGCTTCCTGCCACCACCTCCTCTCCCAAGGGTGAGTGAGGCCCAAGAAACACTGCTGGGAGTCACACCTTTCCCCTTAGAAGCCCTTCGTGTCTACGGTGCACCCCACCCCCATATGTGATGCAAATTCAATTTTATTTTTTTAAAGGTCACAAAAGGTCCCTGTATGCTGAAATGCCAAGAGCTTCTTCCTAGATATCTGGACTATGAGGTTCCGGATGAGTTCTGGAAGCTGAATTTTCCTCAATTACAGGTGCCTCTGCTTTGGCGGGCCCCTAATTCATGCTCAGTCTGCCTACTGAGTCCACAGCATGGCCATCTGCCCCGTTCCTCAGGCTCCAGGACCTCTCCTCCTTGGAGGTCTCCAGGAGCACTAGCCAGCCCAGTCCCTTCTTTCTCAGTTCCCACCCCTCTCACTCAGGCCCTGTGTCCCCAGCCTGCTCTCTGCTCATCTTTTCTCCCTTCACTCTCTATGGCCTCCTTCTGAATTTAAAAACTTCTCCGCTTTCTCACACAACAGCCCTCAAATCCATGCCCCTCTAGAAAATGCCCCTTTCCTAGCCCTTCCTCCTCTGCCCCAACTCTGAACAATAATCTCAGAACAATGTGCCCTCCGGGAGCCCTCCTTCCCCCCACTTTCACCCTTTGTCCAGTGCTGCTTGATCTCTGCTCCCACCACCACCCCAAGAAACTGCTTAGGAGAAAGTTATCCATGGGCTGCCCTGAAAGACAACAAATGCATTTCCATCCCTACTTCTTTTGGTATTTCCTTCTCCCTGCGCCAGTGCCTTAAGTATTTCCAGGGATCTATTCTCACCCCTCTTTTCCCTCTGGAGTCTCACCCAACTGACTCCCAAAGCCCTAGCTAGTGACTAATCTAGAATCCAACCAACCATCTCTCACAACCTCCACTGCTTTCCCCCTGGGCCAAGGCATCGTCTACTCTTGCCTGGTTACTGCAGTAGCCTCCTAACTGGCCTCCCAACTTCCATACTCACTCCTCCTGGTGTTAAAACCTAAGCCAGACCATGTGTCTGTGCAGAACCTTCCTATGACTTCCCTTTGGGCCAGGTCCTCACAATGCCCCACAAGGCCCTGCGTGATTGTCTCCAGCCCCTACTTCTCTGACCTTATTTCCCACAATGCCCCCTTCCTCACCCCTCCCTAGCCACAGCAGCCTATATGGGTTCCACAAACACACTAAGCACACACCTGCCTTAGGGCCTTTGCACTTGCCTGGAATTCTTTTCCCTCCAATAAGCACACAGCTCACTCAGTTGCTTCAGGTCTTCCTCAAATGTTGCCTTATCAGAGGCCAGCCCTGACCACCTTATTTAAAGGGGTAACCACTCCTGCTCTCTCTATCCCCTTACCACTTAGCACCAGCTGACAGCAATACATGCTTATTTGTTGTCTGCCTCCCGTCCCCCTGTACACACACTATAATGTAAAGTCTGCCTCCCGTCCCCCTGCACACACACTATAATGTAAACTTTATGAACACAAGGACTTTGTCTCATTTACCAATGAATTCCTGGTGCCTAGATCAATGCCTGGCACACAGTAAGTGCTGGAGAAAGAAAATCTTATGGAATAAAATGAAATGAGTCTCAAATCTCTATCTTCAGTTCAAATTTCTCTTCTGGACTCCAGATCTGTACTTTAATACACCTCCTTACCACTCTGCCCCCCAGGCACCACACACCCAATTCACTAGGTCTACCCTCCTTTGATTCGAGCAGCTTCTTTTGTTGTCGCAAACTGTGGGGAACCGATATAGGGTTGAGCCTCGGACTGACCTGCTGGCAAAGTCACAAACAAGTCCCAGCTTAGAGGGCTCAGTCCTCTTAGCACAATTAGGCTTGACCTTATAACACTCCCCAGATCTTACCTGAGAAGCTAATGGGCTGAGGGAAGTGCAAGAAGTGTAACTATGGTCAAAACAGGTGAAACTCACAAGAACTGTGTAACTATGGTAACCACTGCCTTGTTTACCTCTGACTATAAACTGTCCTCCGGCCTGAGCACCGGTGCAAGTCCTTCCTCTTGAGTTGGACTTACCCGCCTGGCCCCCCAATATTCCCAAATTATCTCATGTCTTTTCTCTTTCATTTGTGTGCGGCTCCTCTTCCAGATCCTGAACCCTGAACCACGCGGGACGTGGAGGGAAACATTTACAACACTAATCCTAACCCAAGGATATTTTTCCATTGATAGTTAGAGAGAGTGGGAAGGAAGAGGTGTGACAGAGAAAGAAACATTGATATGAGACACACACATCGATCAGCTGCCTCCCACATGCGCCCTGACCAGGCCTGGGGATCATGCCTGCAACTGAGGTATGTGCCCTTGACCGGAATAAATCCAGGACCCTTCAGTCCACAGGCTGATGCTCTATCCACTAACCCAAACCAGCTAGGGCTGTCCTGCTTCTTGAATTCTCCCCCAGTGGGTGGCATCAGCTAGAAGGAGTCAGCTTTGACCTCTTCTTCACCTCCCCCAGTCACAAATCCTGACAGTTCTACCAGGAACTTAAATCTAGCCCAGGCCCTCTCCTCCTCAATTCCCTCAGCTGGCCACTACAATAGATTTCTAAATGCTTACCCACTTGTGGCCATTCTGCCCACTCAGATCAAAGCAGGCTCTTGCTTACAGCCCTTCCATGGCTCCCCATAGCCTACAGATAAGGCTCAAACCTCTTGGCTTCTCCACCCAGTTCTACATAACACCCTCTGCTGCCACTGTTATGCTTACCGACCTGCTGTTCCCCAAACACTCCAAGCCAGCTTCAGCCAACAAGTCTGCATAGCTGTTCCCTCTAACTGGCATGCCTTTCCCCACACCTTCCTGAAGATCTGTTCATCTTTCAGATGGCAAGGAAGTTACTTCCGTAATGACCTTCTTTAACTGCTCTCTAGGGCAGTGATGGCGAACCTTTTGAGCTCGGCGTGTCAGCATTTTGAAAAACCCTTACTTAACTCTGGTGCCATGTCACATATAGAAATTTTTTGATCTTTGCAACCATAGTAAAACAAAGACTTATATTTTTGATATTTATTTTATATATTTAAAATAAATATATAAAATATATTTATATATTTAACAAAGAAAAATCAACCCAAAAAAATGAGTTCGTGTGCCACCTCTGACACGCGTGTCATAGGTTCGCCATCACTGCTCTAGGGGAATGCCCACCTCGTTCTCCCTTTGTGTACAACTCTATTCTAGTTTTGCCCTGGCCAGTGTGGCTTAGTTGGTCCCATGCAACAAGAGGTCTCTGGTTCAATTCCCGGTCAGGGCACATGCCCAGGTTGTGGGCTCAATCCCCAGTAGGGGGCACGCAGGAGGCAGCCTATCGATGTCTCTCTCTCTCTCTCTCTCTCTCATCAATAAAAACATTTTTTAAAAAAGAAATAGCAACTCTATTCTGGTTTTAACACACTTTTCTGTAATTGCCAGGTTACACATCGGTCTCCCTCCCTAAGATGTGAATAACTTGGAGATGGGGTTGGTCTCAGCCCTCTTTGTAACCCCAAGTCAGGATGCATCCAACCAGTGCTGGATTGATTTGTGGACAGATAAATGAAGTCCCCAACTTCCTGCGCCTAACAGACTGCTCTGTAACACTGAATCCCCATCAACGCTGGGATAGTCAAAAAGCAGCTGCATAGTCCTGAATGGTGGTGTCCAAGTAATTTTCCCCATTTCTAAATCCCTTTCCTCCCATTCCACAGTCCTTCGCTACTTCCTAGGGAGCCTCGGGCTGTGAGACACTTCCGCGGAAGATGGGCTCTGGATATGCTTCCAAATAGCTCCACACAACCCCTGGGGGGGGGGGGGGGGGTTCCTGACACTTCTCCAAATTCAACTCTTACCAAAGCCAGACACGCCCGCACCAGGCTGCCCCGGCTTCTAAGCCAGGTCTCCATTATCCAGCAACTTTCGCCTCGCTCTGCCTCCGTCCTCGGCCTAGAGCCCTAGACTCTATGAAAACGCACCCGTCTCTAAGTTTCCCCGCGTCCCTTTGCCCAAGCAGAGCAGTGTCCTCCCAGAGCCCCGCCCTCAGACCCCGTCCACCCACTTCCCCGCCCCTCGGGTCCTCCCCCCTCCGCCCCCCCCCCCCCAATTCCCTTCTCTGCAAATCCCATCTCCACCTGCTTCCTTGACCCCGTAGCCCCCGCCCCTTCGGTTCCTACCACCACCCACTCTTCCTTGCAGGCCCCCGTGGCCCTCCCTCCCGTGTCGCCAGCGGCCTCGGCCTCCACCTGTACAGTGTCTTGCGCGGTGCGAGGTGGTCCTCACTCAGGCCCTGCGCGATGTAGTAATCGGCCACGAGGCCGAGGATGCGGCCCCAGAAGAGCACCCGACTGTAGCGATAGTCGCGCTTAACCAGCAAAAGGGACGTGAGCAGCGAGGCCCGACGGTCCGGGCTGAGGCCCTGCCCGCTGCCGGACGCCAGCTCCAGGGACAGCAGGAGACTGTCCGCGTCCATGTCGGCAGCCGCTCGGCTCAACGCCCTCCAGGTTGCTAGGGGACGCCGTCTCCAGGGAGACCCAACGCCCCGCCCTCCCCTCGGGCAGGAAGTAGGGCTGCGCCCAGCCAGTGGTCCTGCCCTTCCGGGGCCTCCGGCCAGCCCAGATCCCCTCGGAGCCATCCTAAAAGCCTGGGTGCTCTCTAGCTCCCGCCCTCTTCCTTTCCCGAGTGGGTGACAGGATGTGTTCAATTCTCCCGGCATCCGCGTGATTTCCCCTAAAATAGTGTGAGGTTAGTGGTCCCAGTGCAGCCCAATTCTGTAGATATTCTTGCCTTTCCCAAGTCCTTCCATATAGTTTACATTTACTGAGGCCTCACTGTAACTGTAATGGGGGCTTGAGAAGAGAAACAACACAACCGTGACACCAGCTGTGTTATTTCACTTCAGTGATGTCCCTTCTTGGCCTCAATTACCTGTGGAGAAAATAATTTCAAATGCTCTTGGCACTAAAAGGCTAGGCATCTAAGACAATCGCCGCCAATTACAGGTCTCACGTGATGGGGTCCATCCATTTCATTCTCTTCAATCTTCAGATGCCTCTCTTTACCCCTTCCGTAGTACTATTCCACCTCAGCGGCAAATGAAGGCCGAGGCAATGGGGCAAGGCATAAGGCACCTTGGGTAAGGGGTGTGAAGAGGGGTACAAAGGGTGACATTTACACACTTCACTTTCCCATCGGCTACCACCTATTTACCTACCTGGGCCCCACAGCAGTTGCTTTTCAGCCCAAATGGTAGCAACACACGAAAGGGCAGAACCCCATTGCAGCTGGGGCTCTTCACCTCCTGGGCTAAAGACTGGCTACTTCTTCACCCCCATCTCTGGAGGCCCCAGCCAAGGTCAAACAAACAGGTGCCTTAGCAAGCTTGTTGTCGGGGAAGGTGGGATTTATTGTTAATATTAACTAATCCTTGCAGGGGGAGGTGGACGAGGTGGAAGAAGGTATAGAGGGGAGAAGTGGTGATGGAAAAAATAAAATTAAATAAATAAAATTGACATAACATACAAAATACCTATATATATGCACACACTGATCTTTTAATTTCTGAATTCCTTTGGAGAAGACTCATGAAATCAAAATGACCCGGGCCCCAATGCCAAGCTAATGGAGAAATGAGTGTCTAAATTACCCAGATAATGACTTTGTTTTGGTTGTCCAGATATTGTTTACGAAGCCTTTTAAAATCAGTATTCGAGGGAGCTGACATGGGTTAATGTCTTCCACCTCAAAATAATTTGTAACTCCGTTTCAACTCTCCCTCAGTTCAGCCAGACCCTCTCTCAGCCTGTCCTTTCCCAAGCGGGAGATATGGCTGTTCCTCTTCTGTAAGGTAGGAAAAACAGCCAAAATTCTAGCTGGTGGAATATGCTTCAGGCGGTCAGAGCACAGAAAAGAACCCAAACCTTTTGTTTTTATTGATTCCATATTTACTCCGCACCTATTACTGTCCGGTCCCATGTAGGGAAACACAATATGAAGCCAGAAAGGGGAGTCCTGCAGCTTTCCAATACCACCTTTGGCAGGGCAAATTCTCATTAATCATTTCACAGTAAAACACACAGATGCCAGCAGGGTAAAGCATTCAGCCTCTAGCGCCAGGTTTGAATTCCGGTTTCCACTCTCGGGCAAGTTAACCAAGCCTCACCTATAAAATGGAGACAATGTCAAAAAACAAGGCTGTTCGATTAGATAAAATGTATGTGAAGTGCTTAAAAGAGAGCACAAAATATAAACGATTTTCTCTTCTTGACAAAACATAAAACATTCTTCTTAAAACATAAAAAATAGTCTATATTTATACTGTCCCCATTTATAGACACACTCCTATCTCCAACACCAGCAGGGTGAGGACTATGTATTCAGCTTCCAAGAAATAAGCAGCGCCAAAACCGGTTTGGCTCAGTGGATAGAGCGTCGGCCTGCGGACTGAAGGGTCCCAGGTTCGATTCCGGTCAAGGGCATGTACCTGGGTTGCGGGCACATCCCCGGTGGGAGATGTGCGGGAGGCAGCTGATCGATGTTTCTCTCTCATCGATGTTTCTAACTCTCTATCTCTCTCCCTTCCTCTCTGTAAAAAATCAATAAAATATATTTAAAAAAAAAAAAGAAATAAGCAGGTACTGCCAACAGCGACAGGCAGGGCTGAATTCCACAAGGACATGTGGCCTCAGGGAGCTGACCCCAAAGGGCAATCCTGGGGCCTCAGCCTACAGTTACATCAGATTTTGCAAAGCTCCTCAGTTTTCTTTCCTCGGCCTAGTCTTTCGGCCCATTCCCCTGTGTGACCTCTGCTCCAGGCACACGTTTTAAGGGTCAAAACCAGTATGTGACAAGGAAAGAATGTTGGGCTAGGGGTTAGCTAGTGAGGACTCTAGTCCCAACTGACATCAAACTGCTACAGAACCTTGGCCAAGTCACTTAACTTCCCAGACTGGCCTGGGGCTGATGAAGAGAAAGAACTGGTGGTGAAAAACTAAAATTAAATAAATAAATAAGAGACTCGGGAGAAAGACAAAATACTCTAGCCTCAAGCCTGGAAAGTCTCTTTAAGCCAAGAGTTTCGGGAAAATTTAATATATATTCATTCATTTTATATTTAAATTCATGAGTCACACCAACATTTATGCCTCTGGTAAAAATTCGGAAAGGCCACAGAAAAAGGCACCTCCATAATAGTGTCTATGGGCCCGCATTTGCTTTCCAACCCCAAACAGTCAAGTGTGACCCGGTCAACCTCTGATTCACAGAGATGTTGTTCAGTGATGATGATTACAGGCCCAGTCACACCATCAGCTCACCAGGAAGTCTGAGAAGGGGAGGCAGGTAGCCAGGACAGAACCTTCCTCTCGTCAGGAAGCAACTCCACTTCCAAGCAAGAGCCGGGTGACTTGGTGCCAGAGAAGGAAAGATAATTTAGCCACGTGTTCACGATTAAGAAGCGGCCCTCTTCACTCGTGAAAGCCTTTCAATGTCACTGGTGCCTGGAACCAGATGTAATCCTCCCAGGCTGTGACCGGGATGGAGGGTCTGCCACAGGACAGGGTCACAGTCAGTTTGTGGCCCCGTATGGGCACTCTGTAGTTCAGCTTGGGTCGAAACCAATCTTCTCCACAGTCGCGGTGCCCCTGTGCCATGACAATGGTGCCCATGAGTGGAGGAGCCTGAAGCTCACTGAAGGCATCGGCCATAAAAATGGCGCGGAAGATAAGGCGCAAACAAGCTGCTGTGCTCACCCTCTGGTCCACGTTGCTGGGGGCCAAGCGGGACAAGTCAAGCTCGTAGAATTCTTTGGGATTTAGAACACTGCCCCCAAGGAGGATCAGCACTCGTGGTACTAGGGTCCGGGCAAAGAGGCTCTCTAGGTGGCTGAGGACGCTCTCCAGTTCTTCCAGGGTTTGCTGGCATTTCCTGCTGCTTGCCTCAGTGATGGCCCAAGGTTTCTTCTTCACCAGGTCCTCTGCCTATGGAGACAGACTGGTGAGAAAGAAGGCAAGGCAGGGAAAGCTAGGACCTTTGAAGAACCCTGTTGGTTGGGATATAGTAGACTATGGGACTGGGTTTCCAGTTCAATGAACTGCCACAGCGAAGGCACTGGGTTTTATCAGAGGGCAATACATCAAAAAAGAAAATATATTCTTTGTACAAAACCATAACCACCCCACACTTAGAACACTAAAGACAGTGTTCAGAAGTAGGAGGACATCCAGAAATAAGCAACTAACACCGTTAAGATTTGGTGGCATAGTAGGTGGCAAATTTTGCTATAATGGGAGTGATAACAGGAATGAGGATTGTGTAGTTTAATAAAGGTGATTCTGGAGTTGGTCTTCCAATTTAACATGGCAAATTGAACATATGCTTATTTGTGCTCCCATATGAAATACTACTAAATGAAAGGAAAGAGAAAAGAGAGAAGGAAGGAAGGAGGGAGGCAGGAGGAAGGGAGCGGAGAGAAAGGGAAGGATACCCCTGAGCAAAGAGACCTGGAGATTAGACAGCAGTGGCCAAAAGCAACAACCAATTTTTGAAGGACAGAAAGCAGATGAAAGAGTTCAAGTGTTGACAGAGGGGACTCCCATGAAAAGCAAACCGACTCACGCAGCAGAACCTCAGGAAGGCACAGGAATTGCCTATCAGGCACTGCAAAAGGCAAGAGTGATCGCATGGGGACTGAGTGAAAAACATGAGGGCCCTTAGATCGCCTGCCAAATTCCTCCCTCCAGAGAGAAAACTTTCCAACCGGCGATTAAAAATGGCGGCAGAGCCCTAGCCAGTTTTGCTCAGTGGATAGAGCGTCAGCCTGCGGACTAAAGGGTCCTGGGTTCGATTCCCGTCAAGGGCACATGCCCAGGTGCCCTTGATCCCCAGTGTGGGGTGTGCAGGAAGCAGCCAATCAATGATTCTCTCTCATCATTGATGTTTCTATCTCTCTCTCCCTCTCCCTTCCTCTCTGAAATCAATAAAAATAATAATTTAAAAAATAATGATAGCCCTAACTGGTTTGGCTCAGTGGATAGAGTGTCGGCCTGCGGACTCAAAGGTTCCAGGTTCGATTCCGGTCAAGGGCATGTACCTTGGTTGCGGGCACATACCCAGTAGCGAGTGTGCAGGAGGCAGCTGATCGATGTTTCTCTCTCATCTATGTTTCTAACTCTCTATCTCTCTCCCTTCCTCTCTGTAAAAAATCAATAAAATATATATTTTTTTAAAAAGATAAATAAAAAATAAATAAAAATGGCAGCAGAGTACGTGGATGCTGCATAGACACACTCCCAGGACAAACTGGAATTACAACCAAAATACAGAAAAACTTCCTGGATAATCAATGGAAGACTCACTGGAGAGAACCCTGATAAGTGAGGACAGAAAGTGGAGACGGCATAGAGACAGGTCAGAGGGGTGGAGGCACGAAGCGGCTGGCCGGGCTCCCACAGACAATTGAAGTTCCGGAGAGATATCTCAGCTGTCGGGGGTTGCCAATGAGAACTCTGGAATCTAATCCCCAAGTCTGGCCCCCCAGCAGAGAACACCAGAACTGAGAAGAGTACCCACATAACCTCTGGCTGTGAAAAGTGGGGTTGCGCCAGGGAGAGATGGCTGGAAATTCAGGCACCCTCTTAAAGGGCCAACGCACAAAATTGCATCAAGCCACCCACCTTGTGCTCCAGCAGAGGGAAGGCAAAGTGGACTGGAGCTGTGTAAGCAGAAGCCAGGATCAGGGGGCTTTGGGGTTAGAGCTCAGAAAGCGACACCCCAGTTTCCTAGGCTGAGTCATTCGCTCATGCAGCAGAGGTCATCTTCTTTACACGGACAACTGCTACCTAGGCCAGCGGTTCTCAACCTGTGGGCCGCGACCCCTTTGGCAGTCGAACAACCCTTTCACAGGGGTCGCCTAAGACCATCCTGCATATCAGATATTTACATTACGATTCATAACAGTAGCAACATTACAGTTATGAAGTAGCAACGAAAATAATTTTATGGTTGGGTCACAACATGAGGTACTGTATTTAAAAGGCCAGGAGGTTGACAACCACTGACCTAGGCGGTTTTGCCTGGGGAGATGACAGCTGACCCACTCTACTGGAAAAAACCTTGCCTCACAGTACAGAGTTTCTGAGACCCATTAAGAGGCTGAGAATAACAAGTAGCCACCAGGCAGAAGCATTTGCCCCACCCCGTTGAAAAAACTGTTGCCACACTGGTGGATGATTGCCTGAGGACAATTCAAGTCTGTAGGCAGAGGTGGTCTCTGGAGGATTTGAGTCTCTGCCTGATCTAGTCAGAAACAGCTTTTGACACTGTCCTGCACCAGAGATTGAGAGGCATAGCAGATCTACTTAATACAGAGTCACAAAACCAAACAGGCAGCCAAAATGAGGAGACAAAGAAACAACCCACAAATGAAAGAACAAGAGAATTCTCCAGAAGAAGAGATAAATGAAATGGAGATAAGAAATTTATCTGATATAGAGTTCAGAACAATGATAGTAAAGATGCTCAATAGCATGAGAAAAGATATAGTAACTATGAAAATAGAAATAAAGAATGACATAGCACAAATAAAGAACACATTGGAAGGAATACACAACATATTAGGGGAAGTTGAGGACCAAATCAGTGAATTATTAGACAGAGTTGAAAAAAATCAATCAGAGAACCAAAAAGAGAAAAACAATTAAAAAACAGGAGGACAGCTTAAGGGAGCTGTGGGACAATGTGAAACATAACAATATTCGAATAGCAGGTGTGCTGGAAGAGGCAGAAAGGGACAGAGAACGGGTTTGAAGAAATAATAGCAAAAAACTTCCCGAACCTGGTAAAGGAAAAAGTCACACAGGTTCAGGAAGCACAGAGAACCCCAACCAAGAAGAACCCAAACAGGCCCATGCCCAGACACATCATAATTAAAATGCCAAAAATTTAAAAAAAAGAGAGAATCTTAAAGGCAGCAAGAGAAAAGCAAACTGTTACCTACAAAGGAGCTCCCATAAGGCTGACACCTGATTTCTCATCAGAAACTCTACAGGCCAGAAGGGAATGGCATGAAGTACTCAAGATAATGGAAAGCAAGGATCTGAGACCCAGATTACTATATCCAGCAAGGCAATCATTCAAAATAGATGGTCAAATAAAGAGTTTCCCAGACAAAAAAAAAAAAAAAGGCTAAAGGAGTATATCACCACCAAGCCAGCAATATAAGAAATGATAAAGGGACTGCTGTAATGAGAAGAAATAGAGAGAAACCTAGGCATACAGAATTAAAATGACAATAAATAAGTACCTATTAATAACCTTAAATGTAAATGGATGAAATGCTCCCATCAAAAGACATAGAGTAGCTGAATGGATACAAAATGACCCAACTATGTGCTGTCTACAAGAGACCCACCTCAGAACAAAAGACACACATGGGATGAGAGTGAAGGATGGAAAAAAATTTTCCATGCCAATGGAAAAGAAAAAAAATTTGGAATAGCAATACTCATATCCAATAAAATAGACTTCAAAATGAAGCCATCACAAGAGACAACAAAGGCTACTACATAATACTAAAGGAATTGATCAACAAGAGGATATAACCCTAGTAAACATATATGCACCTAATATAGAAGCACTTAAATATATAAAAAATCTTCTAGAGAACTTTAAGGGAGCGATTGACAATACAGTTATAGCAGGGGACTTTAACACCCCACTGATTTCACTGGATAGATCTTCCAGACAAAAAAAAAAAATTAACAAGGAAGCAGTGACTCTAAAGGACACACTGGATCAAATGGATTTCATTGACATTTATAGAACATTTTACCCCAAAGCTGCAGAATATACATTCTTCTCAAGTGCACATGGGTCATTCACAAAAATAGACATGTTAGGACACAAAACAAGTCTCTACACGTTCAAGAAGAAGATGGAAATCATATCAAGGATCTTCTCAGATCACAGTGGAATGAAATTAGAAATCAACTACAGTAAAAAAAAACACCCCAAAACTTTCAGAAAGAAGACTTTTTAGGAGTCTTCCAAAGAGACCACTAGGCTGCCACCAATATCCTTAAAGTCTTATCAGCTCACAAAACCAGCCATGCATACAGAGCTTTCAATGACTTATTCTTAAATATTCAGCAGACACAGACTAAAAGCCTCTAACATGAAAGTCAAAGACCAAAACAAATAGGAAAAGGAATCTGAAAGAAACAGAGACACGGCAAGGAACATAGGAAAACCTCAAAAATACAGTAATTGATATCTTCAGGTAAGAGAGGTTCATACACACATAAAACAGGATGCTATTAAAAAGGACCATACAGGTGACAGGAGAAGATCTGACTTTGGGCGGTGGGCACATGGTGCTATATACATATTTTGCAAGTTAGAACTCCATACCTGAAACCCATATGTTCATGTTGCCCAATGTCACCCCAATAAAATTTAAAAATAAATTAAAAAAAGGAACATGCGGCCTGGCTGGCATGGCTCAGTGGTTGAGCGTCTATCTATGAACTAGGACAGTGATGGCGAACCTATGACACGCATGTCAGAGGTGACACACAAACTCATTTTTTTGGTTGATTTTTCTTTGTTAAATGGCATTTATATATATAAAATAAATATCAAAAATATAAATCTGAAAACCAAGATGGCGGCATAGGTAAACACCTGAAATTGCTGCCTCGCACAATTACTTCAAAAATACAACTAAAAGACAAAACGGACATCATCCAGAATCACAGGAAGGCTGGCCGAGTGGAAATTCTACAACTAGAAGGAGGGAGGGAAGCACACTGAGACTCAGAGGAGGTGTGGAAGTAAAGTGCAGAGGTGCGGAGGCGCACGTGAAGAGGGCTAGCAACTGGGGACGAGGTTGTCTTTTTCAATCAGGAGGGAGTCTCAAGCTCCCGGCTGCTCTGAACTCCTGTTCTGGGTGGGTCTCTGGGGACCCAAGCTCATACAGGGAGAAACTGGACTGTCTGGCATCGGTCGGAACTCGAGGGCGGCTTTCTCTCAGAGGTGTGCTTGCGGCGATTACCGGGACACTGAGATGCAGGGCCTCTTAGGGTAGAACTGAGGAGCATCCATAGCTGTTTGCTCCGCCCTGTTGATCCCCTGAGACCCTGACCCACCCAAGCTGTGTGCAGAGGCTTTTGCATATGAAAGGCCTGGCCCTTTGCTATCTGAAAATTACCTAACAAACTGCAGCTGGGTCAGAGAGACCCAGAACTTCCAAAAGAAGGCCCAAGGCCCCACAGCAGCTTGCATTGCTTCATGGCTGGGCCTCATCTGGGCACCTCCAAACCCCAAACAAAGAAGAGGAATCTGCAGATCTCTCCATAGCTCCTGCTGGGTAGCCTCAGGCAGAGGATAATTAGCACCTCCTTAGAGATCCAAGAGCCAGTGTACCCAATGGTCAGAGTGGGACCATCCAGATTACAACTCCTAAGATCCATAAGGGACACACTCAGGGAGCAGACTCAGTGAGCACCAAAGCCCCACTGAAGCAAGTCTTGCCCCAGAATGGTGTCTCCAGCACAGAAGTTCTCCCACCATAGACACAGCTGATTCTCACAGCCAATTGGCCTGGAGGTCAATTCCTCCCAGTGATACCTACAACAATCAAGGCTTAACTACAACAAGACTGTGCACAAAGCCCACAAAGGGGTGCACCAAGAGTGTCCACCTCAGGTAATTGGGGAGGCTGAGCCACTGGGTCCTATAGGACACCTAGCACAGAAAGCCACTCTATCAACACAGGGAAGCATAAAAAATGCGGAGACAAAGAAACAGGTCACAAATGACAGAAATGGAGGAAAGCAAACTACTGGATATAGAGTTCAATACCACGGTTATAAGGTTTTTCAAGAATTTTCTAGAAACCGCCGATACATTTAGTGAGACCCTCAAGAAATCTAGTGAGACCCTCGAGGTTATGAAAAAGGGCCAACTAGAAATTAAGCATACACTGACTGAAATAAAGAATATTATACAGAGTTCCAACAGCAGACTAAAGGATCGCAAGAATCAAGTCAAAGATTTGAAATACGAAGAAGCAAAAATCACCCAATCGGAAAAACAAAAAGAAAAAAGAATCCAAAAATATGAAGATAGTGTAAGGAGCCTCTGGGACAACTTCAAATATACCAACATCCGAATTATGGGGATGCCAGAAGAAGAGAGAGAGCAAGATATTGAAAACCTATTTGAAGAAATAATGACAGAAAACCACCCCTACCTGGTGAAAGAAATAGACTTACAAGTCCAGGAAGCACAGAGAACCCCAAACAAAAGGAATCCAAAGAGGACCACACCAAGACACATCATAATTAAAATGCCAAGAACAAAAGACAAAGAGAGAATCTTAAAAGCAGCAAGAGAAAAACAGTTAGTTACCCTACAAGGGAGTACCCATACGACTGTCAGCTGATTTCTCAACAGAAACCATGCAGGCCAGAAGGGAGTGGCAAGAAATATTCAAAGTGATGAATAGCAAGAACCTACAACCAAGATTACTTTACCCAGCAAAGCTATCATTCAGAATTGAAGGTCAGATAAAGAGCTTCACAGATAAGAAAAAGCTAAAGGAGTTCATCACCACCAAACCAGTATTATATGAAATGCTGAAAGGTATCCTTTAAGAACAGGAAGAAGAAGAAAAAGGTAAAGATACAAATTATCAAATACACATTCAGAAAAAAAAAAGATACTAATGATGAACAACAAATACATATCTATCAACAAGTGAATCTAAAAATCAAGTGAATAAAAAATCTGATGACAGAATAAACTGGTGAATAGAATCGAATCAGGGGCATAGAAAGGGAGTGGACTGACAATTTTTGGGGGGGAGGGGTGTGGGGGGTGCGGGAAGAGACTGGACAAAAATCGTACACCTATGGATGAGGACGGTGGAGGGGGAGGGGGGGTACGGGCAGAGGGTGGAGTGGGAACCGGGTGGAGGAGAGCTATGGGGGGAAAAAAGAGGAACAACTGTAATAATCTGAACAATAAAGATTTAATTTAAATATATATATATATATATATATATTTATATTTATATATATGTCTTTGTTTTACTATGGTTGCAAATATCAAAAAATTTCTATATTTGACACGGCACCAGAATTAAGTTAGAGTTTTTCAAAATGCTGACATGCCGAGCTCAAAAGGTTCACCATCACTGAACTAGGAGGTCACAGTATGATTCCCAGTCAGGGCACATGCTAGGGTTGCACGCTAAAACCCCAGTAGGGGGCATGCAGGAGGCAGCCAATCAATGATTCTCTCTCATCATCGATGTTTCTATCTCTCCCTCTCCCTTCCTCTCTGAAATCAATAAAATATATTTTTAAATAAATAAATCAGTCAAAGAAGTCCCCCAGAAAGTAGAACATAAAAACAAAGAGACAAAAATAAAAATGTGGAGAGAAAAGACATTAAAATTAAAGGGTCAATCCATGAAGTCCAAATGTAGCACAATCAGGGTCTCGGAAAAAGAACAAGAGAAACAGTGGGGAGGGCTAGACGATGGACGGGACTGACACCACGGGATGAAACACATTCCTCCCAGCTGCTGACGCTGACACATCCTGCAGATTCCTTAGACCTTTTGAACCTTCCTCCCACGGAACCGCCATGAAGCCTCCCCACCAGCTCTCTCGGAAAGCTGTGCCCACCTGGGGAGAAGACTGTCGGTAGAAGTGCTTCAGCTGCTCGTAGGGCAGAGGGAGTTGCAGGCGCTGGTACATGACATGCTTTAGAAATTCACACGTAAACTGACAGCAGCCTTCCTGGCTGACAGGCCCGGGGAACACCACGGGCACCAGGCCATGGCGGGGGCGAAAAGGCTCCGAGCGGCTGGGAAGTTCCTGGGCGGCGGTCGTGTCCAGGAGTTCTATGTGGGGGGCGTGGGAGTCCTCGGCCTCCTCATACCACTCCAACCCTGGCGGGCGCGCAGAGGGACAAGAAAGAGAAAAGTTACAAACTCAAAGGCCAAAGGCAGCCTTCTCGTCCCCTGTTAGCCACCCCAACCCCGACACGTGCACACTCCCTTCGCCAACTCCAGTGTGGGTGGAGGTGGGACGATTCCTAATCCCAGTCGCCTAAAGTGATGTAAGTGACGGCGGGCTGGTGAGAAGGCGGGGCGGGGGCGCAACTCCGAGGCCGGGGACTGACGCTGACTCAGTGGCGGCCCGGGTCTGAACGGAAAGAACGTGTAGCCCAGCAGGCTCCAGAACGCCGCCCAGATGAAGGCAGAGTGGGGTGAACCAATGGGATCGGGTCCGTGGGGCGCTGGCAGTCACTCTGGCCGAGCCAGAGCCGGGAGGGAAGACCAGAAATGCGGACAGGGGAAGGGAAGACAGGCCAGAGAAGGGGCCAGGGGACACATGACGGGAGGGGGCGGCGGCGGGGAGCGAACAGGTCCCCCAGGCATCCCGGGATCCGGACCCCCTGCCTTACCTGGGGCTGCGGTCAAGGACCGCACTTCCGGCTCCGGAGCTGCCATCGCGACCTCCTCTCCGCCGTGCGGTTTGAATAGGCGCGCCGCGAGGCATTATGGGAAGCCTGTGCTTCCACTTCCGGCAGGTTGGGCCGGAAGCCGACGCGGCGCCACAGCAGTACGGGGCCGACTGCGCTGGGTTGGGACTTGAGCCTTGCGCTCCCTCCCTCACACCCTCGCCCTGGTCTCCGCTGCGGAGCGCTGCCTCCCAGAGGACACCGGCCCGCACGCACCCTCCGCCCCCCGCGTCCACTGTTCATTGTGCGCCGACTTGGTGCCAGGCCCTGTCCTAGGTGCTGGACGCTCCGTGGCAAACCAGACCGAGGCGGAGGCTGTGCTCCGGAGGCTCACTGCCTGCAGACAATGCAACGCCATGAATCATACAGCACACTGGCAGTGGAGGTGAAGGACAGGGACACCTAACCTAGACGAGGTGGGAGCAAGGGGTAGTCCAGAGACAATGTGCCCAAGAAACTGACCTGTGGGGTGAATAAAGGTAAGGAGGAGGACCTAGTCATCTTGGAGAACGTTAGAGACAAGAACATCCTCTAGTCAAGGAATGAAAAGAATTCAGGCCTTGGATGGTGCGCTCAGTGGTTAGAGCGCCGCCCGGTGCACCGAAGGGTCGCAGGTTCAATTCCGGCTCAGGGCACATACCCAGGTTGTAGGTCCGATGAGCGGTGGGGGCGCATGTGTGAGGCAACAAATCGATATTTCTCTCTCCCTCTCCCTTGCTCTCTCTCTCTGGAATCAATGAAAAAAAAATGTCCTTGGAGGAGGAATTTAAAAAAAAAAATCAGGTTATAAAGAGTTAAGGCTGTGGTGGACAAACAGGAGCCAGATCATGGCAAGGCTTTGTAACCCATGTTTGTATTTCTTTTTTTTTTTTTTTTAATATATTTTATTGATTTTTTACAGAGAGGAAGGTAGAGAGATAGAGAGTTAGAAACATCGATGAGAGAGAAACATCGATCAGCTGCCTCCTGCACATCTCCTACTGGGGATGTGCCCGCAACCCAGGTACATGCCCTTGACCGGAATCGAACCCGGGACCTTTCAGTCCGCAGTCCGACACTCTATCCACTGAGCCAAACCGGTTAGGGCAGTAACCCATGTTTGAACTTGATCCTGTAAGTGATGGAGAACCTTTGAAAGGTTTAAGTAGGGGAGTAGCATTAAATGTAAATTTAATCTCTACACTGGCTGTAGTGTAGAGATTAGATTACAGGTAGGATAAAAGAGGAGGCAGGGATACCAGTCAGAGCTAGCAACTACAGTTACCCAACTGCATGGTGAAAGAGGCCTGAGCTGAGTGGTCACAGTCGGTGGAGAGAACGGGGTGAACTCTAGAGAGATACTTAGGAGGTCCAATGAGCATTACTTGGTGGTTGATCCCAGGAAGAAGAGGAGGGCTAGAGAGTGGCTTTCAAGAAGACAAGCAGGTTTTTCACGCCAGCATCTCGAGGGCCAGTTGTGTCATTCAAACAAAGAACACTAGAGTAGCCCTTCCGACCACGGCTCAGTGGTTGAGTGTCAGCTTATGAACCAGGAGGTCATGGTTCGATTCTGGGTCAGGGTACATGCCTAGGTTGCAGATCCATCCCCAGTGTGGGGCGTGCAGAAGGCAGTTGATCAATGATTCTCTTTCATCATTGATGTTTCTCTCTCTCCCTCTACCTTCCTTTCTGAAATCAATTAAAAAACATTTTTAAAACTATTTTTTTTTTTTAAAAAAAAGAACACGGGTAGGATCACTTTTTTGGAGGTGTGGATAAGGAGAAAAGATGAGTTCTGTTTTTGATAGGTTGAGTTTGCTGTTTCATTGAACAGATATTTAGGAATAGAGATAAATGTTTGGGCGTCATCAGCATGGGATGGGATAAGATCACCCAGGGAGCCCTGGCTGGTTTTCCTCAGTGGATAGAGTGTCAGCCTGCAGACTAAAGGGTCCCGGGTTCGAGTCCAGTAAAGGGCACATGCCTAGTTTGCAGGCTCGATCCCCAGTAGGGGGCATGCAGGAGGCAGCCAATCAATGTCAGTCTGTCTGTCTGTCTGTCTCTCTCTCTCCTTTCTTCCTCTGTGAAGTCAATAAAAAAAAATCTGTATTAAAAATAAAAAAGCCCTAGCCAGTTTGGTTGAGTGGATAGTGTCAGCCTGCGAACTGAAGGGTCCCAGGTTCAATTCCAGACAAGGGCACATGCCTGGGTTGCAGGCTTGAGTCCCCAGTAGGGGGCTTGCAGGAGGCAACCAATCAATCATTTTCTCTCATCCATGTGTCTCTCTCTGACTGAGGAGTTGCCAGAGAAGTATCAATAGAAATAGACGTGTCAAGTCAAGGAGGCCAAGAAAGGTTGTGTTTCAGGAAGTACGTGCCAGAGACCAAAACATACTATAAATGACCCGACTGGTATAATTCAATGGTTGAGTGTCGACCCATGAATCAGGAGGTCCTGATTTGATTCCTGGTCAGGGCACATGCCTGGGTTTCAGGGGACATGCTGGAGGCAGCCAATGGATGATTCTCACTCATTGATGTTTCTATTTCTCTCCCTCTCCCTTCCCCTCTGAAATCAATTAAAAAATGTTAATCGATCTTATGTCATTGGATTGAGAGAAAGCTATGCTGATGGGTGAAAATGGCCTTCCATGAGAACCCAGGTTATTGCAATTATCCAAACAAGATCCTATCTCCTATAAGAGAAACACAAAGAGCTGTGTTTGGCATCTCATCTTAAAAGGAGTTTGACTTTTCTGGTTGTTCAAGAGCTGCATTAAATACAAGATAAGATTCAATGTGATCCCTATTAAAATACCAACAGCATATTTCACAGATCTAGAACAAATACTCCAAAAATTTATATGGAACCAAAAAAGACCCTGAATACCTGCAGCAATCTTGAGAAAGAAAAACAAAGTTGGAGGAATCACAATACCAGATATCAAGTTATACTGCAAAGCCACCATAATGAAAACAGGCTGGTACTGGCACAAGAAGAGGCATATAGATCAATGGGACAGAACAGAGACCCCCCCCAGAAATCGATCCAAGCCATTACATTTAATTAGTATTTGACAAAGGAGGCAAGAGCATACAATGGAGTCAAGACAGTCTCTTCAATAAACAGTGTTGGGAAAATTGAACAGATACATGCAAAAAAGGAAACTAGACCACCAACTTACACTATGCACAAGAATAAATTCAAAATGGATAAAAGATTTAAATGTGAGTCAGAAAACCATAAAAATCCTACATGAAACCATAGGCAGCAAAATCTCAGACATCTCTCGTAGCAATATGTTTATGGATACATCTCCTAGAGCAGTGGTTGGCAAACTGCGGCCCCTTGAGTGTGGCTCTTCCACAAAATACCACGTGCGGGCGTGCATGTACAGTGTGATTGAAACTTCGTGGCCACACTCAAGGGGCCAAAGAGCCGCATGTGGCTCACGAGCCGCAGTTTGCCAACCACTGTCCTAGGGCAAAGGAAACTAAGGAGAAAATAAACACATGGGACTACATCAAAATAAAAAGGTTCTATACAGCAAGAGAAGACATCAGCAAGACGAAAAGAGCCCTCTGTGTGGGAGAATATATTTGGCAATGACACATCTGATAAAGAGTTAATATAAAAAATATATAGCTGAAACCGGTTTGGCTCAGTGGATGGAGCGTCGGCCTGCGGACTGAAAGGTCCCAGGTTCGATTCCGGTCGAGGGCATGTGCCTGGGTTGCGGGCGCATCCCCAGTGGGAGATGTGCAGGAGGCAGCTGATCGATGTTTCTCTCTCATCGATGTTTCTAACTCTCTATCTCTCTCCCTTCCTCTCTGTAAAAAATCAATAAAATATATTAAAAAAAAAATATATATATATATATATATATATATATATATATATATATAAAGAACTCATACAACTTAACAAAAGAAGACAATCAAATTAAAAAATGGGCAAAGGACCTAAATAGACACTTCTCCAAAAGTGGACATATAGATGACCAAGAGGCATGAAAAAATGCTCAAAGTCATTGATCATCAGAGAGATGCAAATTAAAAGATAATGAGGTATCACCTCACACCTGTCAGAATGGCTACCATCAACAAATGTCAAGTGCTGGCGAGGATGCGGAGAAAAGGGAACCCTAGTACACTGCTGGCGGGAATGCAGACTGGTGCAGCCATTATGGAAAACAGTATGGAGTTTCCTCAAAAAATTAAATACAGAACTGCCATTTGACCCAGGGACCCCACTTCTAGGAATAGATCCTAAGAGACCTGAAACACCAATCAGAAAGAATGGATGCACCCCTATGTTCATAGCAGCACAGTTTACAATAGCTAATATCTGGAAACGGCCCAAGTGCCCATCAATAAACGAATTGCTCATGATTTGCAATGACAATGATGGATATTGCCACTGTTTTTCTTATCACTCTTATTGTGGTAAATGTTGATGTATGCCGGAAGTCGGAGGAATTCACCACTCCTCAACTAGAAGAATCATGGAAGTACAGAATTGAGCACTGTCTCACTGATCCATGGAATACTATGGAGTAGTAGAAAATAAGGATCTCTTACCCTTTGAGAAAACATGGAGGGACCTGGAGAGTATCATGCTAAGTGAAATAAGTCGGTCAGAGAAAGACAAGTATCACATGATCTCACTCATGTGGAATCTAAGTAACAAAATAAACTGATGAACAGAGTGGATCCAGAGGCATGGAAGCATGAAACAGAGTGTGGAATCTCTGAGACAAGGTGGGTGGGGGTGATCAACCAAAGAACTTGTATGTATAACCCATGGACACAGACAATAGGGTGGTGAAGGCCTGGGGTGGGCAGCAGGGGAAGGATGGAGGGGGCAATGGGGCGGGGGAAGGGGGACATATATAACACTTTCAACAGGATTTTTAAAAAATACAAGATTAAACTCATCATGATCTCAACATCTCAAGTTTATACTCAGCAGACTTGGTTGCAGAGAATAATCCAAGGAAAGTGTCCAAATAGATTCTGCAAATGATACTTTTTCTTCTTTACTGGATTAATGATTTTGATTTTTGGATTTGCTGTGGCAAGTTTCTCCCTGGGTTATAAAATCTTTCCCT